TTGCCGGCACCATTGGCGAGGGTGAGCTCTGTCGATCACCGTGTGTCGCCTGCTGATTGGTCGATTCGGGCACGGTTTCGTTCACTAACCGACGAGATCGAGGATCGACCTCATGCTCGATCGTACCGTGGCTCGATCGCGAGCAATCGTTCGATAACGGCCGCGACAGGGTGCACAAACGGGCAAACGGCAAAGAGGAGACACACGCGCGATGCTGGCGGTGCGAAGGCGCCCCGACGACTGCTCTTGCCTCTCGCTGCTGGGCACTGCTCGTGGAGACACCTGGTGGCAGGTATCCGAGGCGAGTTGGGACCGTCCGCGAGGAACGGGCCCCGGATTCTGGAGAGAGAGCCACAGCTGGCCCGCAATTGCTCCGCGTTTCGGCGTAAACGGCGTCGTTCGTAATCTCGCGTGCACGCGTCACTGCGTGCGCGGATACACGCGACGACCCAAGGGGACATCTCGAGTTATGCTTTAATTCGTGCTTTAACGAAGATTCGACGGGGACTCACGGGATTCCCTGTACGTCGAACACGGAGCGAGGTGACGAGACCGGTTACTTCGTTTTTGATGATGGACGCGGTAATGAGATACACGCGGAGTGTACGCATCGTGATATATGGCCCTGCGGTCGGGAGACAGCTTCATCATGTTTCATCGGGTTTTCGGTAGAGGCGATAATTCACTATTTGGGAATATTGGGGAGGGAGTGCCCGTTGTAGGGTTCTGGGCACCGGTGTGCACGGTGCGTGCGACGATGAGCTGGACATGGATAGTGACAGAGAATCTTTAGATATTTAGATGCATAGATACTTAGTTACTTATATACCTAGATATTTAGGTACTTGGATGCTTAGTCTCTTAGACACGTCAGATATTTAAATAGGCATATATTGAAATATTTAGAAATTCAGAAATTTGAAGGGTGAACAAGTAGACCGTATGTTATTGTCAAATTTTAGCGAGCAACTTTTCATTGAATTACCAATTATACGACGCTAAAACTGGAAGGTAAAATTGGTTTCTGTCTACCAACGTATCGGTAAATCTCCGTGCTTCTGTGTTCGCGGCTATCATTAAAACGTCGCGAATTAAGAATTACGAGGTACTTACGTAACATGCTGTGAGCCGTGAAAGTAATGAACAGCAAATTCCGGCATGGCGTGTGTCACCAACGCGAGATACGTGCATCGAGCAATAAACAATGTAAATACGACGTTGTTCGTACCTTAGAGAGTTATTCGCCGATTTACGAATGCAACAATACTTTGTCAGGAAGATGGTTTAAGGGGGGACATAAAAAAGTTACTGTAATTCATCTGCTGCGTCATCGAGGAATTAAGGAAGAAAATTCTACCAGGCTACAATCAACAGTCCTTATGAATAATTATTACTGTCATCTTTACTATATGCACTTGCAAGAGGCGACTACTATAGTAATCGGATCAAACGAATGATCAGTTGTCTAATTAAACTAAAAGCACCCTTGATCAGGATCTTTCTATAAACTAACCTTCTGTCAGTTTATTATATTTAGTACAATTTGATATTTGCAATCTAATGGTGTTTAAAAATGCAGTTGCACTAAAGATCCAACAAATGTCTTCCAAATAAAAAAATGTATTCCCCAAATTCACCCCATCAGACAGCTCAATATTCACAGCAAAGAATAACTTAAAGATGCGAATGAAATTTGAACGTTCACAGCTCCAGAATAAAGTTCACGCTCCGTTACTTTCCCATTTGCCTATGCGCACAAGCGTCTAAGGGTGAACCATTTTCCGCCCCATCTACGAGTCTCTGCCACTTCGTTGCAAAGCCGCAACAATTTACGACGGCAATTAATGCGCGCGAGTAAACCGCGTACAGCCCTGAATAGTTAGGTGCCTCTGACGCCGGAGAGGAAGAAAGACGGACACGTTCCTTGCACGCGCAGTATCGCGAGGAAGAGCAGGCTCCCCTCGCAGAGTCGACGGAAGAAGAGGAAGAAGAAAAGGAGGCGAGAGAAGAAACAGCGGATAGAAGCAAAGAAAAGAGAAAGGAAGAGGAGAGAGGCGAACCGAGGCAGACTAAATAATATTATAGGTGGTGTTCTCACGGTCCCGGGACGCCCGCGGGCCAACTCGTCACCCCCTCCGCCCCTTTCTCGTCTTCTTATTCTCCTCTCCTCACGGCCCACCTCGTACCCAACCTCTTACACCCCCACGCCTCGGTTTCGCCCACGCTGGGGCCCCACGAAGTCGTTGGGCCCCGTCGGTGGGAGAAAGAGGGCCCGAGACACCGGGAACGAGTATGGACGACAACGGACGAAGGGTCAGGGTTCAGCTCGCGCTCGCTGACCGTCACCGTGGACGGTTTTCTTTCTCCCTTCTTCTTCTCTTGCTTTTTTCTACTCCTCTGCTATCCTCTCCTCGAACTCTACTCGATCGTACTCCTACGCTGCAACACTCTAACCCCAAATTTTCTATATTTCCCTATGGGACTGATTATGATCTTCACATTAGGTTCAATTAAGAAATAAATAAATAATCGTTCGATTTAATAATGTCTAATACCTTATCATAGAGTAAATGTCTGATACCAGCACATATTGTATTAAGTTAGTAATCACACTAACTTAATATAAAATTAATTAAACACACTTAAACGTCAAATTAATTGTGTATAAAAATTGAAGAATGTACCATGACTAACAAAGTATGTTTCAAATGAAAATACACGAGTATATAATAAATTACACTGAACCAAAGGGTCAACAAGTAAATAAATAAATTTTAAGAATTGTTAATCAAAGACGAACTTCTGTTTTTTTTTTATTATACAATATTTGCCAATTTCGATGAGAATTTTTTGATTGAGTAATTTGCTACAAAGCAAAGGTTCCTCGATTGGTTATATTCGATGTGTTAGTAAGGATATCCTATTCAGAGACCTTGGTGAAATTGATTTTTAAATTTTGATGCACGATGGGTCGATTGATTGATGCTCGCGCTTAATCTTCCTTTTCGTTCTTTTCTTTCGTTGTCGTTTCGATAGCTCGGACTGTTTAACGAACAAGATGGCAGATATTTTGGAACTATACGAGCAATCAAAGAGAGAGTGTTAAATGAGAATTGTGATTAATGCGTGGTAGCTTGGAAAAAAGGAGAGATTGGGATTTTTATTCTTTATGAGTATTTTCTTTGTTGTTATTATTGGTGTGGACAGTGCATTTATTTGGGGATTTTGGTATTTGGGGGGTTTTGGAATTTTGGGGGTGTGGAATTTGAGGATTTTGGAATTTGAGGGGTTTCGAATTTGGGGGTTTTGGTATTTGGGGGTTTTCGAATTTGGGGGGTTTGGAATTCGGGGGATTTGGAATTTGAGGAATTTGGAATTCGGGGGATTTGGAATTTGGGGGATTCGGAATTC